TCAGCACTGAATTGTAGCATACAAAACTCAATAAAACAAAAATATTATTTAATTTCAAATGCTTTTATTTGCTTTTAGTTTTTATGAATATGGTCAATATTTTCTGAAAGCAAAAAATTTTTTTCATGAAAAATGAATTTTTAATACAATTATATGTTATTTCTTTATTTTAGATTTTTACATTTAAGTTGTTAAAATATTATAAAATAAGTTGAAAGCTGCATTCACTTTCGTAAATGTCCTTATGAGATAGATCATTTTTTAGTGCTTTGTAAATTGTATCACTTTATCCAATCAGAAGACTTGCAGTAATTAAAAAGTACGGAAGGTCACTAGCAATAAAACGTCATGTGGCGTGAGTGTGAGCGTTCTCCACTGAACGTCCATTTCATTATTGCAAATTCTTTGTGCGAAACACATGCTGAGCATTTTGAATTAGTGTTTTTACTAATTAAAAAAATTTGAACACCATCCTAAGCCATTTTCACCATCAACATTACTACATTTTTAAAAGTACCATTTATTTCATTTATATATTTCATTGCAATTTCAATTTTGTGAAGTTGTTTTACAGTTTTCAGTTAGTCCTCTTATTTCAATTTTATGAAATTTAATTCCACTCTCAACAGTCTTATTTTAATTTCTTTATATTTTCCATAATGTATTATAAACGTAAAGGTACAAAAAAAAAAAAAAAAAAAAAAAAAATAGAGCACTGAAAGTTTTCCTTAAAAATAATGAGGTAAATAATTTGTTCACTTAAATCTAAATAATTTCACTTCTCTCCTTCCGTAGAATAAATTATCCTCACATAAGCTATCAATACGTCACTTGTCAAATGACTGCTTTGTTTTATTTTCAAATTAAATCTTTTTAGCACAGAAACTAAGTTAAGCTTGTTTCAAAATATTTTAAATAAACATAATTTCTAACTTTCTTAAAATAAGTTTTGAAAAAAAAATTACAATTGATTTTTTAAAATTTTGAAATTGAGATTTTCATTTTTTTTAAAAATGGAAAAAAATGGTTGACGTGATTGATTATCTGTCAATTTTTCTGACTCAAAAAAAAAAAAAAAAAAAAAAAAAAGATTTTTAATGAAAATTTTGGACGTGCTAGGAACGATTAAAAAAAATGTAAAAAAAAATACCCCAAAAATACTTTGATTCCTCTTAAAAATAACAAACATTTAGACAATAAAGTTTTGTTTTCATCAAGTTTGGTATCTTTTTTTGTCATGCTATGCTCTTTTTTAGCGACCTCATGAAGGTACCTAAGTAAATTTAAAGTCAACATTTCTAAAATTCAATAAACATTAGATTACAGAGAATATTTCCCTAAATTTTTAAGATTACTGAGTGCTTAAAAATTATATAAAAAAAGATGTTCATGTCATTTTCTTAAATTATGTTTTACAGATAAAGTCTCTGTAGAACAACATTAGGTACTGTCGGGTTAAAAAAATGCATTTCTGCGATATTTTAAACTTAAAGTAAATATTCCTCAAATAAAAGGTTCAGAAAAGTATATTTTATTTTTGGAAGATTTTTTAATAAAGAAAATTGTATTGCAATGAAAGGCAACTAAAAAAAAAAAAAAAAAAAAAAAAAAAGAAAAAAGGGAGCTAATCAGCTGTTTTAGCAAAAAAAATGTCTAGGTTCATATGCTAATAAGGTATCAATCCAAACTGTCCTAATTTACAGTTTGCAAAAACATGTCAAAATAATGAAATTTATTTCTATTTCAATTGCTGATATATTATTTTCAAGGCTATTTTGATCAAATAAGTATGTAAACAATATTTAAACTTTTCTCTTTCTAAAAGATACAATTCTTTCTCTTGTGTGATGATTAGCTTTTAAGAGTCTTTAAATTATGTCATTATTTCAATGATGGCTAGTGCTTCTTTTGCCTTTTCAAAGTTGCCAATTTCATAGTTGTGTTTTTAAAAATTGTTTCACTCAGAGTTGTGTCTCTACACATATCAAAACAGTCCTATCTTAAAAATAAAAAGATACTCATCAACTTAGTGGGCTAGGCATAAGGTTTGAAATGATCTGAGAATGTTCTTAGGCAGATTGTTAATTGTGGTGAACGCACATCAGTACAGACACAAAAGAGGCCTCGAACTGCATGCAGACATGTTTGTCAACACCAATTACATGCGGGTTTTCCTATTAGCAATGGGACAATTTGGCATGTCTAGATACTGGCCTCTCTGCAATTAGTCAAGATCATGTCAATAAAAACAGTGGGGAAACCAGCAGTAGTCAGGACAATGAGTATATCAATGAGAGCACCATGCCTGCAGAACGTGTCAAGGCAAAATTTGTATGGGATTATGTGTAAAGACCAGAATGTTTAAAGAATGGGGTTTGCATGCTTGGACTGGAAATCCAGGAGGAGTGTAACACACTGCGATGGACACTGGGAAGTGCGACCCCAAATGTCTCTGAATGTCTTCTCACTGTGTAGGAAGCTAGTGGAACATCTCCCTGTGTATGGATGGCTGCATGTGGTGACCAGGTTCCTCAAGCAGCGGGAAAATATAGTCACAAAGGGATAGGATGACCAAGTTGACAACATCCTCCTGAAGTGGATAATGAAGGAAACTGTGAACAGATTGCGACAAGAATATCCTGCCTGGGGCGACTAGTATGTAAATGGATCTGGAATCATCATGTGGGTTGATGCAAACTCCCTAGTGGCAGGAGTGTTGCTGGAAAAAAAAAATGAAGCAACATTGGAGGACACATGCTGGCTTCAGCCAACAAATGATGCCCAACATATCAACTTGGCTGAACTGGATGCTGCAATCACAGGCCTCAATTTGGGCCTCCAGTGGCAGGCAAAATATCTGCATATAAAAACAGATTTCTTGTGTGTGTACCACTGGTTGCCTGACACCCTCACGGGCAAAGCTAGTGTACATGCCAAAGCAGTAAGCACGATGCTAATGTGACAAAGGTTGAGCACAATAAAGAAACTGGTCCAAGTATATTAGTTGTATTTTGACGTGGTGCTGCTTGTGTCAAATCAGAACTTGGCAGACAAGATGACACATGTACTCCAAAGGTAGCTCATGAGTCCCAGTCAGATAATGGAAATACATCAATCCAGGAGTGCAGCATACCACATATGAGGAGAGTTTGTCCTTCCATGACAAAGGCCATGGTAAAATCGGCCATCAGGACTTGTGTGAAGTGCACTGCTCCATTGGAAAAAAGGCAGACTGGGAGTGAACAGTACTTGGCACTGTCTTAGCATGGACATCACTCACTATCATAGTAATCATTACCTGACACTAACAGATAGTGGCCCATCACATTTTTTTCTGTATGGTGGCCATTACACTGCTAAGACTAATTGAGTATAATATATCAGCTGGAGTCTGTGTTCTGTGAGAGGGAACCACCATGTGGGTTACTCACAAACAATTGCATCATGTTCCACAGTAGGGAGTTCCAAGCCTTTGCCCATGGATGGGACATGCATTTGTGATTTTCCGATGCATGCATGTCCTGGCAGGACAGTGGATGGGAGAGCAATTGGTTAGGTGCTTCCCCCAACCTCTTGCCATACCTTACAACATTAATATAAAGCAGAAAGTGGAATGTGCCTTGTGGAATGCCTGCATTGATTGCATAGGTTTCAGAAGCCTGGCAATTGACAATACCCTACACTGTAGGGAGGACTTGATGATTTCAAGGACTCATCCAGAGATTTCATAGTTGGAGAGAGTTTATGTAGCAATCCCTATGCATCTAAGGCAAACGGTGTTGTGATGAATTTATTATCAAATGACTCACAGATTCTGTGTTATGATAGGACATCAGCAGTGAACCGAGAAGAGCAAACTTCATATTGCTTGTTGTTCAGGAGGTTGTTTCTGTTGAGGTGATTCATATTGTAGATAGACTCAATGCATACTCTGCAAGCATGCATTTTCTTTTCGTAATTTCTTCACAATGCTAGTTATTCTACTAATTATCATTCGTTAATATATGAACATTAAGAGAAAATAAAATTTTGGTTATTGGATTCCCAAAGAATTTTGCGAAGTAAAACTTTTTATTCACACTTCTGAATAATATGATCTAGCAGGATATTTGTTAATAATTTTTTTCCAAACGAATAGGGAATTAAATGTTTTCAGTATTACAGAAATTAAAATTAAAAAATTGAATTTAAATGCTCTTTAACGAACTATAAATCAAAGTCATCAAAGAAAAAAATGCATTGAATATTGTTTATGCTTTCATCGGTTCAGTTAAAGAACTTAGAAAAATATGTTTTATATAGCAAACAAAGGTAAAAATAATTGGGAATACGAAAAAAAAAAAAAACGAGATCATTATTGATCATAATTTAACATAACGAAAGATTTTGTTGTGTAGAAGAATCAACATTATTCATGTTTACCTTCAGACGACAAAGATAAAAATAGAATAGATTAAAAATTTCTACACATAGGAGTAACTTAAAAAGTCAACTTAAATCTGGATTATTGTTTTAGCGCTATTAATTTTTATGAACAATACCATGGTTATAGGACTTATGCGAGAAAAATTAATTTTGTTTTGGTAATTCCAATATATACAAATGCTTTTAGTTAAACCTATACATGAACAATGTTTTGTTGTAGATCATAAATATTTTTCATAACCTTATTTAAAACTACAACAAACATACTTTGTTTTATTCTATAAAAAAAAAAAGTTTGGATGTTTTTTCGACTTTTCTTCTCCCCTTCTCCAAAAAAATAATTAGAGATAAACTTATTGATATAAGAAAATTGTGTAATAGTCAGTTGTATTTATTTCCAATGAAATAAAGCATGTTAAGCAAAACATGATTTGAATGTATATTTAGACAAAAATTATCTCAGGTGCCTCCTCGATTTTTTCAGTAACACCCAACCGGCCAAAAATATATTTTAGAGAAAGGCTGTTGTGTTCAGAAATAAATACAATCAACCAGGAAAAAAAAAAAAAACTCACAGAAAATTCTCTAACTTGATTCGTACTATTGCTCCTTCTGCAAACGCATTCCGCTTTAACTTGTTGGGAGGAGAAAGTTGATCATCTGGCCTAAGATCACTAGCTCGCTTTGGCGCCGACATTTTGAGCATCCAGCACGGATAACATTAAAACATGGAACGATAATTATTTAAAATAACGAAACGAAAAAATAGAAACGTTTTCGACGAATAACGAAATACTTTTAACTTTTTCAACATTATCTTTAGTAATTGTACCAATATCAAATCAAAATAAGCATAAACTATTCACAAAAATATATATTTACGAGTGTCATATTAGGAAAAAAAGAGCTCTAAATTGTACTAACGTTCAATTTTTGGTTACTTTTGCTCCAATAGTATTATTGGACCAATACCAATTTTCTTTCCATTTTTGTTTAACTTCTGGACTTATCATATTCTAACGTACTTTAAAATCATTTTATTAAATCTTTAAAACATTATTTACTTTTTATTCATTTTGCGTGTCACAAAAGTTCCTTTCAAGAATTTTTCAAATTGATAAATAATCTTATTCTTAAGTCTGTTTTACTTTTAATTCCTGACAATTATGATCATTAAGGACAGTTTCCTCATTGACACCGAATGTTAAAACAGAACTCTCAAAACTGGAAGGGATATTCTATTGGGAAATATTGATGTTCAGATTTAAAATACATTACATAAAAATAAAATAACATTAATAATCGATTATATTAAACACTTCTGGTAAACTTGTTCATTTGTTCCGGATTAACAATTAGATAGGAACTAAACCAGACACCGTATTACCCATACACCCACTTCCTGCGCATGCGTAAAATCTTCAATCTCTTTTGCTTCTGTCAGCCATCATGGTAAGTTTACTTTTTGAAAAATGCGATTTAATCCTTCAATATCTAGTCCTGTATTTTGCAATCTATCATATTTTTTATTAATAACCATGTACTTATAGCTTTACCTGTTTGTTATGAAAATTTTAATGGTTTTTCCTATGTCGATAACTTTTTAATTTTTAGACTGAACAAGCTGATATTGCCGATTTGGTTGAGAAAAAGAAAAAACGTACTTTTCGTAAGTACACTTATCGTGGAGTTGATCTCGATCAGCTTCTCGATATGTCCAGGTAAGATTGAGTTCTTATAACGATTGTCAATATCGAAATCTTAAATTGTTTGCTACAACGTGTCTACACCTTAATTGTTGCTGGAGTTTAAGCAATTTGCATATTGTTTTATAACTAATTCAATAACTTTATTCCTGTGCACTAAATTATTAGTTCAACAGGAATGAGATAAATGGAATAAAGTATATTTTATTGTCACTAGAAACCTGGATCTCTACATTTTTCTTAAACACGCGTTTCCTTCTGACACTAAAATAGTTGTTATGGTTTTTTTTTTTAATTTGTAAGACACGGCTGATAGTTCCTATTTTTAATACTTGTACACTGCAGATAATTAATTATAAATTGACAATTTGGAATCTTAACATGAAGCATTTTTTAAGTAAATGTGTGTGTAATCAGAGTAAATGACGAAGTGAAATAAATTCTTTGTAAGAGATCGCCATTTTGACTTCAGAAATATAATATGCAAGCATTTTTTTTTTCCGTGAAGTAAGAATTACACTGGGTAGTCTTTTTTTTTTTTTTTTTACAGGGCTAAGTTTTTAAATTTAGAGTGTATCTACTTTACTGATATTTGCCGCCGAAATAAGTTTTTATTATGATGCTACCTTATTTTCCAAACTCGTCCTAGAGTAAAAACCTGACTAACGTTTTTTACAAATTTTAAATGGTGCTGAAATTATGATTAGTGTTTCATAATAAAACACTAATCATAAAGAATAAAACTTACTTTTTATGGGATCAATCATAAAGAATAAAACTTACTTTTTATGGGATTGTTTAAACTTAGTTTCCTTACATGAAAAATGAACGGATTTTAATGAATGTAAATTTGTAAGGCTTGTGGCAATGGACATTTTTAGTGTAGCAGTTTCCAGTCTAAAACATTAATTTGGAAATTCTTGCAAAAATCAAATAGTTTGATTTTAATGAAACTTTCAGGGATTATTAAAAAATGATTGAAATTATTTTTAGAAAATTTTGGTAAAAAAAAATTTTTTCGCAACTACTTTCAACTTTTTGAAAATCTCCATATCGCAAAATAAAAACTGCAACAAAACTATCTAGATAGGCTTTTATTTGCTTTTAGAAATATTATACGTTAAGGACATTGTCTAAAGAATTTTTTTCAATGAATAATTAATTTTTACAAGAAATGTTTGCATTTTTCTTTAAAATTCATCAAGAGTACAAAGTAGGTTATTAATTGAAAACTATATTAAGCGGAAATTAAAATCTTAATACAAATCTTACTCCCAAAACTTTTTACCATAAATAAAAATTTTTTTCTTTTTTTAGTATGGTGTATCATAAGTGATATGGTTAAAAAGGTCACGTTTTAAAAACGCGACGTAAAGGTTTTCTTCTGCGAGCAATACTTTCATTTCACTTCTGTGTTTCATCGTCCCTACGTTTCAACAGGCTTCTTTTTAAATCTTAAAGGATGATTTTTAAAGTTTTTTTTTTTTATTTCACTAAATATTTTTAATTGTGTTTTTTTACTTAAGAAAAATAATTTGTTTTTAGCTTATTTTAAGTTTTTCTTTTTTGCGAGTTAAGTAACTTTTTGTTTGTCATTTCTTAAATTTAGGTAACTCCATGAAAATGGAATAAAGAGTATAGCATGACAAGAACGGCCTTAAATTTGAAAAAAAAAAAATTATATATATATATATATATATATATATATATATATATATATATATATATATATTATTTATATATCATTATTTAAGAAATACCAAAAGTATTTTTTTTTTTTACTCAATGTCCAAAATTTTAGTTAAAAAATCTTTTTTGTCATGAATTATTAAAAAAAAAAAAAACGATATCAACCATTTTTTTTTTTTTTTTAACTTTTGTAAATTAAGTTTAAAATCCTAGTTTAAAATTCTTCCAAAAATCAATTATACGTTTTTCAAAATTTATTTGACGAAAATTAGCAAATTTAAAGATTATTTAATGTTTTGAAAACTTTTGCTTACTTTCTTCGAAGAAAAATGTTTAAATTAAAAAGGAGGCTGTTGGCAAGTGATGAATGATTGCTGTCATCATATCGACAGCTAACGTGAGATTCGAGTTATCATACGGAAGGACATAATTGATGTAAGGTTTTTTTTTGTTTTTTTTATACATGAACCAGCTTATGTAGTACCTCGTAATTATTAAAGTAAAAAAAAAAACCTTTCATCATTCCAATTTCTTTTTTGTTTTTTATACTATCTAGAAATTATAAATACTATAAATAAATTAAAATACAAGTGCTGTACAGCTTTTTGAGGGCAACTTAGCCCCCTAAAGTCAATACAGATCTGTTATAAAACATTTCTATCCCAAGTAAAAATCATCACAAACAAAATCAAAAGTTATTTTGTTACACTACAACCAATTTAAACTGAAAAAAAAATTGAAAAATGACTTATCTGAACAAAATATCAAGGAAACTTTTGATCTGCACCCGATGAAATTAGGTATTTCCTGAAAGCAAAGAATGCTCTTTCTGCGGATCTTCTGGAAAAAAAAAAACTCTCATAAGGAGACTTAGGAAACCTGATGCGGTTTTTAACTGATTTTATAATATTTTAACAACTTAAATGTAAAAATCTATTATAATTAAAGAAATAACAATTGTATTAAAAATTCACTTTTCATCAAAAAAAATTTTTGCTTTCAGAAAATATTGTCCATATTCATAAAAACAACTAAAATCATTTGAAATTAAATAATATATTTGATTTAAGTTTTGTATGTTACAATTCAGAGCTGATTTTCAGGTAGGGGGGATCCAATTAAAAACAAAAAAAAAACATGAGGAAAATTCCTCAAAGCCTTGTGCTCTTAACTATTGTAAATTTTTAACCTAGACTTGAGCAATTCATAAAATTAGTTTTCAATATAAAAAATATAAAAATAAAAAAAAAAAAAAACTTAATTAAAAGATCATCTGTGAATTGTTTTGAAAGTTTCATTAACATCTGACAATTATTTGTATTTTTTGCAAGATTTTCCAAATTAATGTGTCATTCCAAAAAACATGCTAAAAATTGTCTGTTATTTACTAGTTCTGCTGATACAAAGAGAAACAAGGTTTTTTTAATCAAAATTTAGAATGTTCTAAAAAAAGAAAAATTAAAAAAAAAAAAACTTTGGTCTTTCCTCTTTATAATAACATAGGTACCTCCACGAAATCGCTAAAAAAAGAGCATAGCTTGATGAAAAAGACGCAAACCTTGCCGAAAACAAAATTTTATTGTCTAAATGCTTATGTTATTAAAAAGAGGAAAGACTTTTTTTTTTTTTTTAATTATTTTTAAAAATTTTCCTTCTTTTTAGAAAAATTCTAAATTTTGATTAAAAAACATTTTTTCTATTTGTATCAGCGGAACTAGTAAATAAATAGACAATTTTTAGCACGTTTTTTGGTATGACACACATTAATTTGAAAATCGTGCAAAAATAGAAATAATTATCGGATGTTAATGAAACTTTCAGGAACTATTCACAGATGATCGAAATTATTATAAAATTTTTTTTTTTTTTTTTATGAAAGTCATGGTAGAAATATTTTTTAAAAATATTTATTACCCCCCATAACTAATTTTATGAAAACGCTAGAAATTCGATCGCATCGGTTTTAGTGATTACAATAATTAAAAGCACAGGGCTTTGAGGAATGCAAATCATGTTTTTTTTTGTTTTTAATTGGATACGCAGTACCTGAAAATCAGCTCTGAATTGTAACATACAAAACTCAATAAAACAAAGATATTATTTAATTTCAAATGCTTTTATTTGCTTTTAGTTGTTTTTTATGAATATGGACAATATTTTCTGAAAGCAAAAAAATTTTTTCAATGAAAAATGAATTTTTAATACAATTATTTGTTATTTCATTAATTATAATAGATTTTACATTTAAGTTGTTAAAAATTATAAAATTAGTTAAAAGTCCGACAGGCTTTCATAAGTGTCCTTATGAGATAGATCTTTTTTTAGCGCGTTGTAAATTGTATCATTTTGACTAATCAGAAGATCCCCAGTAATTAAGAAATGTAATTTTGTGCTTATAATCGAGCTGTAATTATAAAATACGGAAGACCAACCAGAATATAATTAAGTTCGTTATTTGAGTTAAGCATTGTTCTCCGCTGTTAAGGCCTTTTTTTTTTTAAAACACGTTGGAGAAGTTAATTTGATTTTTTTCAATTTCAACTGAGAAGGGTACCTCCAAGTATCAGTATCATCTTATGAAATTTATATGATCTTATTTTTTATATTAATCTCAGTTACAACATTTTTCCATAAATGAAATATCAAAATTAATAATAAAATGAATGCAAATACAAATAACAGTAGAATGTAATAAATGTACATAAAATTATAGTTTTTTATGTACAATTCTGATAAAATTTCATAAGAAAGGTACCTATAAATTAATTAGATACCTTTCTTAAGAAATATGAAATTTAATGTCACTCTTAACAGTTTTATTTTAATTTCTTTACAATATATTTCCCATAAAGCATCATAAACGTAAAGGTGAAAGCTAAGTACAAAAAAAAAAAAACTTATTTTTTTTTTTTTTTTTCGTTAAAAAATAACGGGTAAATAATTTGTTCATGTAAATGTAAATTATTTCACTTTTTCTCCTTCCGTAGAACAAATTAGCCTCATGGAATTCGTAAATATATCATTCATCACATGTCAAGAGATTTTAAAAGTTTATGACCTGCTTTGTTTTATTTTCAAATTACATCTTTTGGCACAAAAGCTAAGCTAAGTTAAGTTTGGTTCAAAATATTTTAAATAAACATTATAATTTCTGATTTTCTTAAAATAAGTTTTGAAAAAATGATAATTGATATTTAAAAAAATTTCAAAGTCAGATTTCAGTTTTTTTTTTTTAAAATGAAAAAAAAATGGTCAATTTTGCTGACTCAAAAAAACTAGATTTTTTAACGAAAATTTCGGATGTGCTAGGAACGATTAAAAATGGA